TACAGGGTGATTGACTATGGATTTCTCGACTTCAACAGCTGATATCTCGAAAACGAAAAAAGATATTTGAAATTTGGAAAAAGTTACTCTAATGAGATGTCATTTCCTTCTGGAAAATTCGTTCTCTGCTTGATTTTATCATTTCATATACAGGGTATGTGAAAAAAATTTTTTTTTTCAAATGGAACCCCCTGTATATTATAGCATATTTGGAAAGAGCTATCTTTCCTGATTTCGAAAATATATACTTTTCATATATTCTATCGAGTGCTTGACGAAATATCAGCAAAATTAGATATCAATATTTGGTCCAAGGTAGCTATGGTTGAAATAGAATGAGATGATGAATGAGTGAATTGACATTTGGTCAACATTTCAGTGACATAAATGCGCAAAATTTCGACAATTTTTTCACGATGCCATATCCACTGGAACAAAGAAGAGATATTTTGGAGTGCTATTTTTCAGTTAATAAAAATCTTGCTGAAACACTTCATAAGTTTATGAGGAGTTATCCAGGCAGGAGATCACCAAGTAAGAATTATGTAAAGTATTTGGCTGCTGAATTTGACAGAACTTCCAGTTTGTCGAATATCAAGAGAATAGTGAGAAGGCAAGACAACGAAGACGAGGAACTTCTTGTAATCCAGTATTTTGTTGAGGATCCTTCACGGTCAATAAGAAATGCAGTGAGAGAGTTTGGTTTCAGCTATTATTTTGTTCAATATACCTTAAAGAAATATAAATATAGGGATTTCAGAATTAGACCATGCCACAAACTCAATTATGATGATAATGAGAAGCGGATTGAATTTTGACTTGTCATATCTGAAAGATAAAATATAAGTAAGTATAAGTGTAAGTGTTTCAGCAAGATTTTTATTAACTGAAAAATAGCACTCCAAAATATCTCTTCTTTGTTCCAGTGGATATGGATCGTGAAAAAATTGGCGAAATTTTGCGCACTTATGTCACTGGAATGTTGGCCAAATGTCAATTCACTTATTCATCATCTCATTCTATTTCAACCATAGCTACCTTGGACCAAATATTGATATCTAATTTTGCTGATATTTCGTCAAGCACTCGATAGAATATATGAAAAGTATATATTTTCAAAATCAGGAAAGATAGCTCTTTCCAAATATGCTATAATATACAGGGGGTTCCATTGGAAAAAAAAATTTTTTTTCTCGAACCCTGTATATGAAATGATAAAATCAAGCAGAGAACACATTTTCCAGAAGGAAATGACATCTCATTCGAGTAACTTTTTCCAAATTCCAAATATCTTTTTTCGTTTTCGAGATATCAGCTGTTGAAGTCGAGAAATCCATAGTCAATCACCCTGTACATTTCTTTGTTGATTAGTGAATTGCAATCAATTCGAACTTCAATGATGTATCACACTAAATATTTCTACATATACGTAATACTCCCACAATCACAGGTGTAGATAATTTCTGTTATGATTTATTTTCGACAGTTGTTCGTATTTTAGTCAGTTTGTAGGTACACTCGTTTTCAGTGAACATGTCGCACATGGATAGTATGTGCTCTCTAAATCACTGCTGCAATAAGGGAGTTTACATCGTCCAACAGCGTCATGTTTTCTGAAGACGAGGGTACATCCAACTGAGACAGTTCCTTTTTCCTACGAGCGTGCGGCAAAGTAACTTTCCGTACAATTTTCCGTTTCAAAAAATTACTTTTTTCTGCAACCGACACAAAAGTCGTCCATTTTGATACCAAAATTACCTCTTAAATTGACGTTTCTATTACTGACACAAAAATAGGTAGGTTGCTAGGCAACATATTTAGTTCCTAGGAGCTAAAGTTGAACTTTAGTTCCTAGGAGCTAGAGTTGAACTTTAGCTCCTAGGAACTAAAAAGGAAGTACTGGACGTCATCAAGAATGAACAACATTGTGACGGTTGGTTATTTGGGTTGAGACGCATACCTGATTTGTTTCCGATTTCAGCAGATTTGGAATTTCATACCCATGCTGGAGATATAGATACACCTTATTATAGTTTAGTATTGGAATTATAAACATCTCAGCTAAGTATTTTTGTTAGATCAGGGAAGCCTTCAAGATTCAAATACTTGCTTGATCTGTCGTATTTCATTCGTTATTCTTGGGATGGATAATTTGTTTTTGAATAATCACGTCAAGCAATAGTTTTTTGTCTCAAACAACGATATTGTTTAGCTTCATTTGATTATCAAGCATTGTATTATAGAGAGGAGTAAATAATCGTCGCCATTATCATTGTTGATATGCTCATTAACCTAACATTTTCCAAGTTTTGTTCCTATAGCTGGCACTGGCGCGGTATTTGCTATCAGAGCACCTGATCCATACACAAATATGTCACTCTGTGATTGTACTTATATTGAAACTACAATTCGAACATTTTAGAAAACCTAACCTGCTGTTCATGCAGGTAGAATGTTCTCACTACACGGATTATTTGTCAATATTTGTTGCATTGCATACATATGGCACGGCATATTTATTTCAGTCAATTGTTTCGATTGCAGAAAAAATAGCATGTTTCATTCGGATCAAAAGTGACTTTGTTCGACTCGCAAATTTTGCTTTCGCTCGGCTTCGCTAAACGCTCCGCCTCACAAATGCAAAACTCGCTTGTCAAACATTGTGTCACTTTTGATCCTAATAAAACAATCTACTATTTCCACCACTAGCTATAAAACCTACAATTATTTACTATTTTCGAAGGCGTAAAGTGAGTTACCAAGGTAGTTTTCGTCATTTTAAGAACCACTAGTCAATACAGACATAGAAACCTCTGTTATATAAAACACCCGATTCCACATTTCTGTTGCGATATTCACAGGATTGGCTCTCGAATCTAGTAGGTATTTATATTAATAACGACTTGTCATATGCTGTCATGGTGACTACTTCACTAGATTTTAATAAGAATTGAAAAGAAGTGACTTCATAATGACATAGGTCCACATTTCAGTTTCACAGAACTATAATGATTGAATAATAATGCTAGTGGTGAAAAAAATTCAATATACACCTTGGTGGTAAAGAATATTATTACCACGGGACCTTATACTTACCGCACTAGTGCTGAAATAGTAAATTATGTAACAAGTGTTATAAACGTCCCTTTAGTAACGAGTAGTTTAAGCACGAGCGGAGCAGAGCGGAGCGAGTGTTTAATAAACGAGTGTCTAGAAGAGTTTATAAACGCGTTACATACTATGATTTTTCTACGAACTCCGAAAATTACTTCAACATACCTGCAATTCTTGCTAACCTACAAAATAATTCGAAAGGAATGGGAATTGAGGACATAATACATGCAACTGCATGCAACCAGCGAGACACGTATAAGTGATATTGGTTGTAGATGTGTCCAGTCCATTGCTTACTAACGTTTGTTTCACGTTTATTGTCATGCTTAGCGCAGAATAAATAAATTGTTCTCAAAGATGGATGCTTCATTTTTACACTTCTTGGAGATATGCAAGTACCTGAACATTCTTTTCGATTTCACTTTCGTTTACATTTCGCATATATTTTTTATAAAGAATTCTGATACAAACAAATATTGTTTGAATAATTCTGATACAAAATTCGAAAATAACAATTGACAGTTAATACAGTTGACAGGCCAGACATGTCTCAAATTACTGAAGCTGTGTTTAATGAACTGCGTTGCCATGGTAATGTGTTTAAGAAATCGTGTTGCCATGGTAATGTGTTTATTATTTTGAATAAATCACAGATCGACAGTCCGTGATTAATCGATCATTTAGCGTGGTACATATCCGTACGATAAATGCCATTTTAGTTATGTGAGTAGAAAAAGTTACTTTCTTGCACGATTTTTGCATTATTCGAAATGAGGATGTTTAGGACTGACTAAATGATCTATGTAATTATTCTGCCTTATGTGTCATTTTGTAGCATTATTATAAAATCTTGTTTAAAACCTTTTTTTATACATATTATGGACAAAAACTCTTGCGGGAAAGTACACACAACGTTCCAATATATCTATTTGGGGAAGTACAAATATTTCACGTTTGAAGCTACTCATGGAATTACAAAATAAAACAATAAAGTGCATTTTCAATTTACCTTTTTTTTTAATCGACTGCGAATCTATACAAACCTAAAGACTTGCTGAATCTAGTTTCATTATATAAACTCAAAATTTGTTGTTTTATTCATTTTGTCAGGAAGGAATTGAAAATATCGAATTTGAATTTTAATGAAGTTAATACGATTCACGCTCATGAAACAAGGCAATTCAATTTATTGATAGCAGATAAGTCAATAAGTCAAATTTTGGTAAACAATCAATATTCCATAATGGAATAATTTTGTATAACTCCTTACCTATAAGTTGAAAAATATAGAAAAAGCAGAAAAATTTAGAATTAAATGAAAGAAATATCTGCTCAGTAAACTTCAATTCCATATCTACTAATAGTACTAATCATTCACAATTTGATTACTTGTAATGGATTATAATGTTTCAATTTATATTTTATTATTTTTTTTTTCAGGAAAAACAATAATTGTGCAATTATTATTGTTTCGATTTATTATGTTTTATATGTATGTTTTGTAATGTTTCTTGGGGTAATAAAAACAATCAATCAATCAATACTCCAAATGAGTATGCTGTCAATTGGACGTCAGTCAAATTATCAAGTGTGATACGTCGTTGAAGTTCTGATATGTATATTCGAACTTTACTCAAATATACAGGGTGCCGATATACAGGGCGTAAAGTTTGAAATTCAAAACAGTAAATCTAGACCAGTGGAAAACATTATACATTATATCCTGACACTTGTGAAATATACAGATATAATTTGGCATTTGGTGCCGCTATCTGATTTACTCGCTGGGTCGTGACGTTAGATTTCCGACAGTTTGAATGAGGTTGCTTTTTTGATATTTGAGACTTTGAAACTGTTCGATTATTGATAATTGAATTTTTTTACAGTAATAGTAGAGAACAGAGGAATAAAGCTGAAAAACAACGAAGGGACAAACTGAACGCCTACATAGCAGAGTTGGCGAGACTAGTGCCCATGGTTTCGAGAAGTGCGAAAAGAATGGACAAAACCAGCATCCTCAGACTGACAGCAACTTTTTTACGGATAAATCAAAGTAAGTAGACTGTTTCGATTATAGTTATTTTGTGATGCCACACATCAAAGATGAGACATATTCCTTTCGTTATACTCACGTCGTTTACCTCCTAAGGACATGTATGCGATTAACTTGATGAATATGGAATATACAGGGTGTTTCGTTGGGAAACGGAAATACTTGAACGGTGGATAGAGGTGACCAAGGTGGTTCTGAATATACCATATATGTTGGGTCTTAAATGTTGCATTATCGAGATATCAATTCTGGTCATTTCTTTGAATGCTCATAGCATACGAACCACCTGGTATATTTTTTTTTATATTTGGTAGACGTATTTTCCCACTGCTACTCCAGCGACTTGTATATCCGTCAGAAAAATATTCCAGGCCCGGATTTACAAAAATTCAACATATTATTGGGTCCTCGAAAAAACACCTTGTATGTTCGAATTTACAAAATCTGCTTACATATCTGAAGAGAGCACAAAATGTTCCCGCATGCTATTTTACTACTAAATTTCTGAAGCTACAATGAAGGATTTGTGAATTTTAATAGCTAAAAACGGAATATTTTCAGTTATTCATATCGAATTATGAAAATTTTGCAATTTCACAACTCATTTCATTTCATTTAATAGTCGTTCACCAGTGACGTGCGTACGGGGTTTGAACTGACAACTCTTGAAGAAAAAAATGTTACGCTTCCGATATTTCTATAAACCAAAATTATTCATGAAATCCATTTTCATTTTGGAGAAAATTTGGTTCCTAGACTCACTTTCATACGACGTACCGCTTTCGCGTAAAAAAATTAAAATAAAAAAATTCTCCAGTTTTTATTATTTTGTAAAAATTTAGTAAGCACCCGGAAACATATTTTGGTTTGAGACAAAAATCATTTGTTTACATTAAACAGTTCACGTATGCCTGGTATTAAATTATTTGATTGAAAGAAAACTGTACGTTTCCGATTTAAACACCCTGTAGCTCAAAAACTAAGAGCTTGAGGACATATGTTGTTATGAACTTTGATTCCTAAAATCACCCAAGGAATCACACCTTGTATTATCGGCACCCAATTAATTAACACCCTGTATTAATTAGTAGAAGTATCGTTTCCAAATTAGTGAGAAAAAATTCCAACTGAACTTTTAAATGGTTATCTTTGTATCTAGAGCGCGAAATGATACTTTGGTGATCGAGATTTGCTACGCCTCGTTAAAAATATTTTTGAGATGTCCAAAGTATTTCGCCCTCGAGTTGCAAACATTTTTTCTACAATTGTCAAAAAATATAGTTCTAAAGTAAAAATATCCTTAGCTTGATATAAAAAATAGTGTTGAACTGGCTTAAAAGGCCTCCTTCTATACTCCCTAGGTACGCACGATGTTCCTCGAACATAATAGGAATTTCCTTTCGTGCGCTCCACGAGATGAAACGAAGTTATTGTTGAACATTTAGAAATGAATGATTTCGTGGATGTTTGCTCGATTGAGGACCATTAAGTTGAAATATAAATATCTCATATATTTTACATAACAATGCGCGAAGTAGGTACTTCGCGCATTGTTTTGTGCAAGGTATCATGGTAACATAGAAAACTGAAGAAAGTGTCACTTCGCATTTTGTTGTCAATGCGCGAACCTTGTCATTTTTTGACGTTTGTAGAAGAAACGTAATGTTTTTTGTTTTTGTTTCAGCTTTGATGAATAGCAACAGTTCTGCTAACATGAACTTCCCCAAACACGTGGATCAATTCCTTCTGGAGCAACTGGTGTGCGAGCAAATGGGGGGATTCTTGCTCATAGTTTTGCCGACGGGAAAAATAGTTTTCGTTTCACATACCATAGAAAACTTACTGGGACATTTACAGGTACCATAAAAAGATCTCCATAAAGTTAGGCGTTGGGAACCATTATAATGCATTATTCTTCTATTTATAACTACCAAAAAGCCAAAATGCTGAAAGTGGAATGAAATATTGAATAAATATGCAAAGCTCAAAGTCATTTCCACAAATGTTCATAAATTAGCGCAAATGGTAGATAACGATTGAAAAACAACTGATATTCTAAGATCCGCAGTAAGGTCGACCTCCATCCATCTGTTTAATGGATAAAAACTATTTTATCTACTCACTGCATCGAAAGTAAGCGTTTGCCCTCTTGTTTAAGGACACAAACCTACCAATTTACTCCCACGGGAGGAAAAAAATTACCTCCCGTGGGAGGTAAAATGAATTTACTTTAGCTTGCTTCCTTGGTAGTTGGTAGAGATAGATATACGTGCTACAGTAGTACCTAATCAGTGTCTCCATCACTACTATTCATGAAACTGATAACAAATTTCCTTTTTGAACTACAATGATCTCATACACTTCCTCATATTCCAAACTCACTCAATCGAGACTTTAAATAAAATGCAATTACACATTGAACAAATTCTATCTGACAGAAGTCAATTTCGAGAAATTTCAAAAATCACTTTCTTTTACAAATCTTTACAGTTGATTTTGAATTGACGTGGCCGTTACTTGATGAAATCCATGGCAAATGCAAAAAAAAATGTCAACATTTTTGAGTTTGTTGATTTCTAATGATTCAAAATGATTGAGTTTCATTCCTTTATTTTCTACGTGTAGAATTTCGAAATTATCATCAAAACTATGGTTTTCTTCTAATATATGGTTGGCATATGTTGAATTTGTTTTCTTTTTCAAAAAATTCATCTCATGTTGATGAATGCGCTTATCAAACGTACGACCTGTCTGACCGATATATTCCAATCATTCCAACCATTCAAAAACGTGTATTTCCAAATGAGAACACTACATAACATACAAAGAATAATCCAAAATAAAAAGCTATTTCAGAAAATGATCTATGAAGTCAATGGCTGCTGGTACAGAAAAAAAGAAGGGGAAAGAGGATTTTCGACCCCTGATTTTCAAGTAACTGTTCCAGTGCCTTTCTAGATATCTCATTTGTGCTAGTCCAAGTCCAGTTCTTGTTGTATACTATCCAAAATACACGAGTAGCTAGATCTTGAAATAATTATCATAATAATAATATTGGTTCTAGTTAAACTACTAACCATGATATTCATCACCTCCTCCAAATATTTTAGAGAAGCTGGCATTTCCTTTGTAACCAAACATATTGTAGCTGTTTGTAATACAATATGTAGTCTCACTGCATCATCTACCCCTTTGAGCAACCACCCATCAGTGTATACCACCTGATGTATAAGAAATGATATCAATAGCTTTTATTCAGGTAATATTGTTAACATAATTTTTTTTTATTATCATTTCATACAGTCGCCTAAGCAAGCTTGCATTGTGCATAGTCTATGAATTGATTATTACTTTAATTTACATCTAATAAACATTTTTAGAATAGGTAGGTAATTGTAATCTGACAATATGTTTACAATAAACTGACAAATAAAGACAGACAATGATTCAAATATTGTATATATAATTCTCAGCAATTGAGGAACTTAGGCCTTACGGTTGGTGTAATTTTTTTCATTAAACTCATCGGTAGTTTTTTGAATTTTTAATTATAGCCTAGCCAGGATATTTTCAGGCAACCCATTTTTATTAAATTTTTAACATGCTAAATTACTTATAAAATAATATTCATCCATTAAACAGATGGGTGAAGGTCGACCTTACTTCGGATCCTCTACTATAATTTCCTGGCTATATGCTACAAAGAATATTGGATTACATTCTCCCGAAATCCATGCAACGATTCGTATAGACGAATAAGGTTGCAAGTGTTTCTTTACTAAGCGCTGAATTGTGCCTAAATTGTTCAGGAACGCTCGACTAGCTACAGTACCGTTTCGAGCTTTGACTCTTTTCAGTACAAAGCCACTCACGAATTAGAACATAAGACACATCTTATGATTTCAGGATCATTTTAGGCTGATTCATCACCCCACTCCCGATTTGGTCTCATCTCTATCATAAAAAAATCTTCGGCCGAACTCACCAACGCCATTTTTGAAAAAAAAATTTCTTTGATGATTTGATGTAGTGAAATTGTAGGTCTTATTTTGGGCTGATTTATTACCCTATTCCCCATATTTCTTATCCATCTCCTCCACATAGCTCATCCCGCTCGCGTTCAGCAATGCTGATCCAATCATACATGAGATGCGAGCATATTATCATCTAATACTCGAGGATATCGTGCCGTCTTCTTCCCGCTTCCATCTCTATTCCACTGGCAGCCCATACGAAATACTAAGTCAGCCGCCTTGATTTGTTCGCTTGTTCCCGTGAAGGAGCCCATAGACTGCGTTGTTGGTGGGCTGTTTTGTTCGTCGAACAGGTATGTTCGAACAAAAATGACGCAAAGTCGAAGTGTGTGGTGTGTGGCTAGCGAAAACGACCATTTTGCAGACACCCACTTCGGTTTTACGTCAATTTTGTTCGAACAAAACAGCCTATCAACAACGCAGCGTATGGACCCTTTCACGCAAGCATTCATTCCATCGCCTAGCAAAAATCGTGAAAAACAGTACTAATTTTCACACTTTCGTAAAATAATACTCGCGTTTGTTTGCGATTCTCTGGTGTAAGAATTGTGTAGTAACGAATAAAACGGCCAAAGAATGAAGAATGACATATTGATGTGATGACAACCGTGTGAAAACCACATTTAATCAATATGACATAATAATCATCAATAAAAAACATCAAAGTTTGGATAAGACCAATTTTGGATCTTTGAATTGGATCCATGGATTGATGATACATATTGAGTTTTGGTATATACGTGCGGGCTGTGGGTTTGGTACTTGGGAATTTCTAACTATGACTGATCAATAACCATTCCCTAGACATTGGTGTCATTCGATATTATAAAATTTTAATAGTACCTATATTAATTAGAGATTATTGTAGTGAATCATCAGTGATCACTATATTATGGAAATGGAAAGTGCATTGAAACGTATATTTATTACCTACCTAGCGACATTCTTCATGAAATTATGGATTCATAAGATTACAAAATCAAATCCAGGATGAGGAATCTTTCATACTGACCATTTTCAGAATATGTAATGAAGAAGTCCAAAAAATTGAAAATTTTCATGACATTGTTATATCAAGATTCAATACCAAGAACTTTCAGAGCTATTTCAGATTGACTCCTGAATATTTCCATGTGTTATATGCACATTTTTCCTCTTTTGTTGGCTTATCTTCTCCAGCAGTAGGTACCTACCTATTCCTCATTCCGTATCTACAATTTCTATTCTACAAAGTTTTGATTACAACAAACTTATGATGATGTATGTCAAATACCCTTATTTGTCAAACATTCCACCACGCATTCGATGTTTTGAGACCAAATGGCCAGTGCCACCAGAATGATAAAAAAATCCACAGAATTATCAATTAAACGGCGATTCTGTCCCACTGGTGACACTAGCAATGCCAATAAAACGCAACTAATGAAATATTATTTACCTACGGCCACTATAGAAAGTAGGCATGGCACACGAGATACAGCCTCAGTAAGTAGCTCCCATGCACAGTAAACACATCTCACTTTTTTTTCGTTCATTCTGCCTAACGTATTCCGCCAGTCATGATCGAGTAATCGCCATCAATTCAGACTGTTTGTCCAAACTTTTTTGATGTACTATACGGCAGTAGGTAAAGTATAGTACGTAATGCATGTTTTAAAGCAATAAGCATAATTTTTCCATTCTTGCGTGATATGCTTCTTACGTAATATACTATTTGATATTGAAAAATTGTACACTTTAGGCACAACAAATATAATATTGAAAAAGTGCATTCTTTTTCCGTTGCAGGTAAATATCGTTTATCATAAATGGCATTGCTGAGTTCGGCTGAAGCTAGCATAGCCACAGTTTTTTCTATGATAGAGAGGAGCAAAAAATTCGGGAATGGGGCAATAAATTAGCCTAAAATCATGAGACGTGTCTTTGAATTCGCGAGTGGCTTTGCTAGCATCTTTGATATCGATATCGAAACGAATTCTCACCTATCCCTCGCTTCCCCCAGACGGACCTGATGGGCCAATCCCTGTTCAACATCACCTCCTCGGACGACCACGAGCGCCTGCGCACCTACCTGCAGTGCATCGGCGCCGTCGAGCACGACTGGACGAAGTACTTCGGCGTCAGGTTGCGGCGCGCCGGTCCTCGGTCCGAGTCGGCCGTCTTCGAGCCGGCCAAGATGATGGGCGTGCACCGGCAGGCGGGCGGGGCTGGAGTGGGCGGGGCAGGATTGGGCGGGGCGGGGCAGGTCGACGGAGGCGCCTCGCCGGCGTCAAGCAGGTCGTCGACGACGTCGTCGGTCGGGTGTTCGAATAACGATGTGAGTATCTCGGGTGAAATGACGGTAGATATAGACGCAGCGATTCTTTCATGAATCATCGAAAAGTAGGCTAGCCATCCTAGACGCCGAACACGGAAGTATTCCCAAAAAAATATAATCTCCAGAAGTTCAAAAACATTCCAATACCTACCTCCTGTCCCTATCCTCCCTAGGAACGCACGATGTTCTTTGAACATAATAGGGATTTCCTTTCGTGCGCTCCAAGCGATAAAAAAAATCGTGAAAGGTGGGCATAGCTCTGCGGAATCATTGCTAGAGAATTGATATTCTGTATGTATGTACATACACTTCTCCAAGAAATTAACGCAGCACCAAAAAGTAGCCAAACGTTTAGAAAACATTTTCGTCAAAATTACTCAGCTGATTTGGACGTTTTTTGTTCTGAATGACCTCTTTTTTATACATACCAGGTGTAGCAATTACAGCGTGTATTTCTCATGAAATTTGTAATACCCTCTAGAGTGTAATAGTTACACTATCGAGTTAGAATTGAAATCCTTCAACATTCCTTTCTTGGATTCACTTCATTATCTTTCCTATTACTCGATAAACACCATTTTATAGCATGACATGAATTTATTGAGAATAAATATCCAAATTAAACAACGAAATTTTCATCAATTGGGTTCACAATCATATGTATTGAAAATAACTCTCCAAGTTGTAGTATTAGTGAGATGCAGGTCCAAGTTTTACTTAAGGTGATAATTGGTTGAAATTCAATGATTTAAAATGGAATCTTCCCTATGATATAAAATTGAGTAGGTGGTCACAACTTCAGAATATTCTAGCAAGATACATGAACAGCTCAGATCTCACAGAGAACAATCAGACCAGAGAACATAAAATTAGCTTATTTGATGACTTTATAGAGAAAAGTTTGATATATCTGTGAAAAGCGTTTATAGTATCTTGTAAAAATAGCTTACGTCATTCTAAAAATCCTGAAATTTTGATTGATCAATTGAAACACATTAAAAAATAGATATTCTTCTTGTAGATACTGATAATTATTTATTTATTCATTTATTTATCGTTACTCTGGTCTATAGGTCATACCCAACTACAGAACAGGAATATAAGTTACTAATAATATAAAGATTTGTATAGTTTATATTATTATATAGTTTGTGTAGCATATTATGTCTTTTATGTTATACACCACTTCTCATTCTGTGTAAGATCGGCTGTGAGATCCATAACCAATACAAAGAATAAGATCTTGCCTTGCAATTTGTGAACTTGAATGGTTGATGTAATATGGGACTTGCCAGTTTTTCATTTCATCCAAGAAACTGAATGAAGCCTGAACTGTGACTTGATCCATTATTTCTTGCTATTTTTTGCATTAAAGTTCAATTATTTATTTCAAAGACAGAAATTGATGTTACATTAGCGCGGTTAGCGGTAACGTACCAGTGTTTGCCTATATCGCCGTTGTAGCGAGTCGAGAGTAGACCTTCCGGATCACGGCGATGCGGTGTTGCATTTCTCTCACCGCCGCTTGTTATACAGCCGGCTGTGCTTGTTTCATATTTTTATCTTCAAGCTGATTCAATAACCGCTCACGCCACCCTTTTTTCTTTCCCCGCAGATGATCGTGCTGTTCGTGAAGATCTGCCAGCCGGAGCCTCTGGTCGACCGGCTGATCGAGGCCTCCAAGGAGGAGTACGTGACGCGGCACCTGATCGACGGCAAGATCATCGGTTGCGACCAGCGCATCTCGATCATCGCGGGGTACATGCGCGAAGAGGTGACCGGTCATTCGGCCTTCAAGTACATGCACAGGGACGACATGCGGTGGGTGATGATCGCCCTCAGACAAAGTGAGTGTTTGAATGGGCCTGTTCGTTACCACCGATACAACAAGGCCAGCAGACTGACGTAAACAGCTCGTGACGTCACCAAGAGAGGCCAGTGTTTTATTTTATCGCTTGTCGACTAACGCGTCAGTTCGTGTTAATTCATCGGGCATTTTCAATTCTCATTCTCAAATTTCTTTCTGAAAACGGTCATTTGCATCGTGCAAGTGTCCAATGACAAAATAAGAGCAAGTAGATTCAAATGCCCCCAACACAAGGGGAGAAAGAAGGCGAAATTTCGAACTTTTTCTTGAAATATCTCAATAATAGTGGTTTGTTCACATTTTCATTATAAAATTCGGTTTATCAGACAAAAATACGTGAGTACCGAAAACAATTATCAAAAAAAAACCATCGTATGATAAATGCAGTTTTACCCTTAAAAATTACGGTTTCAAGTGTAACGATCCACTTGGGTGAAAAATCCAACAACAGAAAATTGAAAACACTCACTGGTTATTTTTTCAGGTAATAGGAATTCTCCAAGATAAATATAGGTAATTGTAATAAACGGCATGTTCATCAAAATAAAATACATTTTCCACAATTTTCTTTCGATCAATCTCACGATAAGTTTATGTTCTGCGGGCCCTGTATAAGTAGGTGTGAAGTTTACCTTCACCACAATTTTTGCCAATATATTTAATTCGAATGGGTTGCTGTAGGTGGATATTTGTGTTTTATCCTGGTTTTTGCTTTAAAACTTCGTTTTTCCATAATAAAATCGAATGGGGTGCGAAGAAGGGCTCAGTTGACGACTGGCATCCTTTTTTAACCGGAAGCCCTTCAAAAAACAGCAAAATCGGCTCAATGATGATCTTAAACTAAAATCGAAATACGCGGTCGCCTTATAGCGCTATAAGCGCTTGTCGTTTCGAGCCGCTGGTTAGGCCTCACTAAGTGACGTCACCCACGGAGCATGCAGGCCTTGTTGCATCGGTGGTAACGGCCTGTTTCAGTGAAACATTCTATTCCATTATTTTGAAGTACTAATCCTAACTAAACTACGCAACACTAATTTCGTCGCACCCCAAAATGTTGCCCCTGTTATAATGTGACTATCTTTTTTCTGTTTTGAACAATTTGAATCCGGATCACACTGTTCGCTAGCCCAGTCCTCTAGTTATAATCTGGTACTCCTTTGGAACATGAGGGTCTTAACATAAAATCTCTACTTGGTGTTTCCCGACACTGTGCAAAATTTCGGACTATTCAAAAGGATCCCAAATGAAAATAAAAAAACTTTCGACAACAGAGGCCTGAAGGTGATCTCATTGCCTTGAGATATCCCACGAATTATCTTTCTATCTCTCTTATTTACAGAGTGATCTCAAAAAATCAACTTTTTTGTTCTGCAGTCATAACTTTTTTCCTCCACGTCAACCGTTTTTTGAGATATCAGGCCCATTTCGTAGATGAAACTTCAGATGAACAGATGGGAAAATCAGAATTGATTCAAGATGGATATCAAAGATCAAGAGTTTTCTCAAAAGTGATCCAAATCTGGAACACCCTCCGAATCCCGGTTAGGAGGAGAATTAAATGAAAATCAACTTGTTCTCGCAAAAACAGTTCATTCTGGATGCTTTCAGATTCTTTTTGCTCTCAGTAGTTGAGAATTGTGCGTGAGAAAGCCCAATTGAAACATGTTTCTGCCGAAAAACTCAAACCTTTGTTCACCTGTAATGCATGGCTCGTAACCAACGATACAAAAATCACAATAAGTGAACCCGACCAGCTAAGGCTCACCATAAGGGGTGTCCCAACAAGAGCGCCGTGTTTAAATTTGCTGCCATTTTTTAGTACGAATTGTATGGTGATTTTCTTCACAGTTGTCATGTACAGACCACGCGATAATGTTTAATTATTGTAAAAACACATTACATTACAAGAAAACAAGTTTCATTGAATTTTAATTGAACAGCAAGCAAATAAAAATAACGATATAAGTAATCAAAAAATAATGACATTCAGTATTTAGTGGGTCCTTGGGCAATCACTTGCTTGACTATCTGGCATGCTGTTTATCAGCACATCAATATATTCCTGAGGAATAGCTGTACCGCATTCACCAAGACCAAGTGTTCCATTTGCCCTTCTCTTTTTTTCAATTTCATACGACTCCAGACATGCTATATCGGGTTCATATCCGGAGGCATAGGCAGCCAGTCCAATCGCTCAATGCCGTGATTCCTCAAAAACTCGCTGACAATGCGAGCCCTATGCAGGCCGCATCCACAAGGACAAAGTTGTCACCAACATTTTTTAGTTGCGAACAGCCTTTGTGTCCCAAATAAGTCTCAGAAATACATTCTGAGATGATGTCAGTGATAATCATTGAAAAAAAAAAGATCGAGCGGGACAAATAAATATTTTGAAAAGAGTAAATTTGGTCATGAAATAATATTAGACATTTTTCACAGGAAAACTGGCCTCATAATATTGTTCTTCATGATTTCAAATCCGCATATCAAAATTTTGATGATGGGTTTCAAAAAAACATGCACTTCTAAACAGCACTCTTGCGAATATAAAGAATAATTTACTCCGAAACGGTGAGTTCAACAAGAAGAAGCATATCTTGTTTTTGTTAAATCATGATTTTCTATCTAACGGTGCTAGTTTTGCGAGGCAAGTTACATAGCTAATATGATTTCGAAAAAATCGATCATTTCTTATTTCAATAAAAACGCACGGCACTGTACAAAAATATGTTCCCCTCTGAAAAACTCATCATATTGATAGTTATTCAATAGCTGAGACATGAAGGAAATTCCTATGATTTTCGATAACACAATGTATGGTTAATATGTGAAACATTCGCGAATATATTGATTATTGATTATGTTTGTTATTATAAAATGTGGATGGCTTGCCGAGATGAACAAGTTTTTTTTCTTCTATTTAGTGTATGATAGAGGCGAAAGCCGAGGCTCATCGTGCTACAGGTTACAGTCCAGGAACGGAATGTTCATCTACCTGAGGACCTGCGGCTTCTTGGAGATAGACGATCAAGGCACCGTGGAGAGCTTCATTTGTGTAAATAGTTTGGTTGACGAACGGGAGGGCCTGGACTTGATAGAAGAAATGAAGAGGAAATATTCGGCTATCATCAATTCCACCTATACGTTAGGCGAGGTAAGATATTTGTCTATTCTGATCAATATCTAGACTAATCTAGAGATTATAATTTACATACTTATAAAAAACGCTCTGAAAACTGTTGCAAATGTAAATTTTTTAAAACATCAACAAAATAAAAAACAAATGCTGTTTCAAATGGATTGATATGTTTTTTGTTTCATTGAATTAAGGTCGATTCTTGATTCAATATATCTTTCATTGATATTTGAGTAACTTTTTTCAATAAAATATGTAATATATGAAATTCCATCAAAATTATCAGGAAGTTATATGACTTACAGATTTTCATTCTGTTTTGAAAATAGCCCCAAATCATTGATTAACGATGCAATATTAACTACGTTCATCAAATACAGGAGGACCATTTTTAACAAGGAATATCTCGTCTATTTCGAGTGATAAAATTATTGACCAGAAATTATTTTGGTTGTTAACCCTCTTGAAATCAACCTTTGCCTTCTAATGCCATCTGATGTGTTCCATCGAAATCCAATCTCCAATTAGTTTTGTTGGTTTCAAATTTCAATAGAAAAACCGCATGAATATCAACTCACACCTTCTTTATTCCATCATGAATAAGTTAAGTGAAAAAAAAAACATATCATGGTACTCCAAAGTATTACAAACGATAATGAGTGAACTGTGGAATCCAGGAGCTGCCTACAGGGTGAGACAAAGTCACACTACACACCCCTTTTATTCTTTCATTTTTAGAGATAGAATTCCCAAATCCCACATTCCAAAAGTTTACTTTAAAACGTCACCGTTATACGATTGCTGGAATTTTCGATTACTGAATGGAACACTTTGTATATTATCAAATTTCTATTCTATGTGGTACAACCATTTTCATGCCAAATATAATTGAAATGAAAGTGGTGCCTTTTTGCCTGAATTTTACCCGACCTCGGTAGCGTGGTCCGTGCAAAGGATAAAGGGGGTGGGAGGGGGGGGATTTTATACACCCTCACTGTATTATGTATATTCAACTGTATTATTACTCCTCTTCCACCTTCGTTCTTTCTTTGTTCCTGAATAGATCAAATAAAACACTTTTCCTAAAAAAAATGTTATAGAGAGGCGACTTGGTGTGTTTTTCTTACTATTTGAATGACAGAAGTGTTCATCATCATCATCATCATCTTTATTATTCCCAAGAAACAATTGACGTATATGTTTATAACAGGGAACATTAAAGAATAAACCACAATGTATTACATTACATTTGAAATGTAGTAGGTATAGGCATAATAATTATTCTAGTAATTCTCAGAGTTTGAGCTGATCCTTGTTTTAGTGAATGAATGATTAAAATAATTGATATGTTATATGATCTCTATATGGATGACATGACAATAAATATTTTTTAAATTCTTTCTCGAATTTTTTGGTACTGATTTTTTTTTTAAGTCTTGTTGGCAATTCATTGTCATAATCCATTGTAATATATAGATCTCTTGCCAACTTTATATTTGATTTTAATGAGGAAAAACATGTCTGTTTGTCTAGTTGAATGTTAATGTATATTAGCATTGATTGAAAAATTCAAATTGGAATGTTTATAATTGTGTTTGACTGAATGAATGATTGTTAATATTTTGAATTTATACAGTGTCTTTCAAAAGTATCGAAACGGTCTCATATTTCAGGAACGGCTTGAGAAAACTTCACAAAATTTTCTACAGGGTGATTATTGATGATGTCCGATTCAATAGTGGCATCGGCAATGTTGCCAAGTTTACAGTTTTTCAGATATTAGGAGTTACATAATTTTTTCAAATTGATTGATTGATTGTCTTTATTACCCCAAGAAACATTTCTGTTTATGATAGGGATACATGAATACATATAAAAAAAAATAATAATAAAGGGTTAACTATAATGAATTCCACTCAGTGGAAACGAATTAATATTGTGTCTTATAAGATTAAAGTTATATTTCATTCCTAAGTAATCAAATCATGCCACATATTTTTCTGTCAAACTGTCCTGAGCAAGTATTTTTTAAGATTGATTTTAAACCTTCTTGCATCATGTATATTTTTTAACTCATTCGGTAATGAATTGTATAAAATTATTCCATTGTGAAAAACAGATTGTTTGCCAATGTTTGACTTGAATGTATTTGCTATCAAGTAATTGGAATACCCCATTTATTTTTATTGCAATTGATTGAGCGCCTCCTAATTACTGAATATCAGATTCGTTATTAACGTGATTTTCGAAATATGACAACAGCATTTTCGTTAAAAAGTTCTGGAACGGTCCCATATTTCAGAAACGGCTCAGAGAAAATTTATGAAAACTTCGACAGGATGGTTGTTGATGATGCACGATTCAATGGTGATATCGGCAATGTTGCCAAATCAACAGTTTTTCAGATATTTAGGGTAACTCAATTTTTTCAAATGGAATACCCTATTTGTTTTAAATCTGATATTTGGAGACATAAGTAATGAGGCGTCGCTGAATGTACTGCAATGAAAACAAATAGGGTATTCCATTTGAAAAAATTGAGTTACCCTAAATATCTGCATAACTGTTGATTTGGGAACATTGCCGATATCACCATTGAATCGGGCATCATCAACAACCATCCTGTCGGAGGTTTCATAAATTTTCTCTGAGCCGTTTCTGAAATATGGGACCGTTCCAGAACTTTTTAACGAAAATGCTATGTTGTCATATTTCGAAAATAACGTTAATTACGAATCTCATATTCAGGGACTCAAGTAATTAGGAGGCGCTTAATTAATTGCAATAAAAATAAATGGGGTATTCCATTTGAAAAAAATAAAGTAACTCCTAATATCTGAAAAACTGTAAACTTGGCAACATTGCCGATGCCACCATTGAATCGGACATCATCAATAATCACCCTGTAGAAAATTTCGTGAATTTTTCTCAAGCCGTTCCTGGAATATGAGACCGTTCCGATATTTTTGAAAGACACTGTATATTGATTGGAGATCTAATATTTTATTCAATGCAGGACAACGAAAACACCCCGCAAGCCCCCATCGATCTGGTGGAGGATCCCGTTCAGGTGGATCAGGCGGTGGCGCAGCTCATGCGCAACCTGCCTTCGCCAGGCTCAGATAACCGCTCAACCCCCAGCCCGCTTGTCCATCACGAGAATCAAGACTACCCTAATCACCTAACCAACAACACGGAGAAAAATTATGGTAAGTCGAAAAAGAAACCGGGAATGAGATGTTTATCGGGACATTCGAGGTGAGGTACTGTCAGATGCAAAGAACATGTCGCGGTTGGATGGTGTTAGCGCTCCTTTTTTTGAAAAACTTACTATACCTTTTCAACTTCAATTTCGGAATCGGTAACATATATTTCGGGAAAAGTAATCTCGATTTCGGAATTGGTTACTTCGATTTCAGAAATGGTAAACTCAATTTCAGAATCGGTGAGTTCAATTTCAGATAAAGTCCATTCAATTTCAGAAATGGTAAGTTGTATTTCAGAATTTGTAGGTTCAATTTCAGAAAATAAATCCTTTTGTTTGTTTGAAATATTTCCAATTGCATGTGTGATTAACAAACCATATTACAATATTCAACTGTTCAAAAACAATTCAATAACATAATTATAATCTCAATTTAATCCACAGATGCCTCCAATCCGAATCGGAGAAGGATATATAGTAGCGTTGCACATGATTATAAGAATGCAAACACATTTGAGGTGTTATCATTTTCATTGAATGATCTGCACATTCTTCAAGACATCGCAGTCTGAATTTTATCTGGTTGAGCAATCTGTTCGGATCCCCAGCTATGACCCTTTGGCGATGCTCTTGCACTTCTGACTTGAAGGCACTCCATATATGTTCAATCGAATTCAATATAACATTCCTCCATGCATATCTCTTCTATTTTTGAATGTGCAGGTGCATTATCCAGAACTACCACTATGGTATCTGCAGGATGTCCATTAAAAAATCTTCTCTTTTGCAATTGAGAATATTTTAAACATATATAAGGATTCATCTTCTGAAATTGAACCTACCAATTCTGAAATGAAACTTACCATTTCTGAAATTGAATGGACTTTTTCTGAAATTCATCTCACCGATTCTGAAATTACGTTTACCATTTCTGAAATCGAACTAACCAATTCTGAAATCGAGATTACTTTTTCCGAAATATAACTCACCGATTCCGAAATTGAAGTTGAAAAGGTATAGAGGTGCTATCACCGATGTAAATGTATGAATTTGAACTGGAAGATCTCAGAAGCCGTAGGCGCTGAAACTGCTTGTAATCTACAAGCAGGTTTGTTATTATTCCTACTTTTGATATAAAAAAATATTCTATGCTTAATTTCTTCATCACTGGAACTAGAGGTACTAGAGGTTGCTGTTTCTGATGAATCAGAATCACAATCGGATATTACTCCATCTATAATTCCAACGTCAGTAAATAAGAATGATCAAAATGAAAGCCAACAAAACAAAACATCGAAGATCGAAAGATCATTGGTTATGGTTATGTTTTGCTGCCAGTTTACCAGTATTGCCAAAATAACTCCGAGATGAAATGACAATTCAAAGCTACGCAACTGTTTAGTATTCCTAAATTGCTTACTGTGGCCAGTAATATCAGCAATATCGGAACATGAACGTGATACGCAAGGTTTGGTAGTGTTGCTTCGTTTTCCCTCAGAGCAATGAAGAAATATAGAGATGGCTTCTCTATTTTTTTATTGATGCGAACATGACGAGCTTGTTTATCATTATGAATTGGGTCCTTGGAAAATGTTAAGATCTGCTATCTGGAACACATTGCCAAGGGAGATGTTCCCCGAGGCATATAACTTCCAGAAATTTGAGAAGAACACCAATTCCTACCTTATTTCCCTTGGTTCTCACGATGTTCTCTGAACATTACAGGATATCCCTTTTCGTAGGAAACAGAACATAAAAAAAATATATGTTCGGCAGAGGTGCTTCTCATATACTTTGTTTGCGTTCTGCGTCTACCCAGTCGCTCGCCGAGCTAATTATCAGGATGTAAGAATTGGGTATGGGTATGGACTTTGTGTAGAAATAATCTCAAAATATTAGTATATATTTCCCCTTCCAAATTTTCTTCAGAGAAGGTGACAAATGTTGGAGATCACTTAAGAATAGTAGATATTCTTGTACAGTTGCTAATTTGAAACACGTTCTCATCATAAAAGCAAAACGGAATATTTTCGATATATTTGAAGATCATTTTTTTGATGATGAGCCCTTGAGTAATCATGGAACAAATTAGCTAAATCAATCTTGGATAGATATTTTAGGATCAGCAGGATACACTATCAGAAAACAAAATTATTTGAGAACCTTAACAAACACGATTTTGTTCAAAAATCAATTGAAGGATGCTCTTTTGAAGTGCCTTTTAGTTTCTCCATCCTAACCTAGATTGTATGATGCATTCTCTTAGAACAGTAATTCCTGTATTGCTCGGAGAGCATTCTTGTAATCCTTCTTCAAATCACTAATATCAAATAATGTGATAATACACAGATGGAATACTCAATTTATTATTTATATTGCAACGAAAATGATAAATTATTAATAATATTCATTTCATGTGGAATCCCCTACACCTCAATTTCAAATCAGAGAAAATGTATGCAGAAATTACTGCTACTGATTCTTTGCCCTTCGAAAGCAAAACACATATTTGAAATGATTAGTCACGGAATGATTAGATGAGCAATAATTATTTTCAACATATTAACATTATTTCGTTAACCTTCCAATATAATTTACGTACGCCAGTGTCACAAGAATTGTTAACATAACAAATAAACATTAATTCTCCTCCAACCACATTTTTTGACACAGAACAAGTGAAAAGGGATAGACATGTATTAGCATCATAACATTTTTGTGTAGTTTTTGGATACCGAAGGCATTTCTACATACATATACAGGGTGATCCACGGTGATCAGAATTCTGAATCTTGAAGCACCCTGTATTTTTTCCAATCAAATTTCAGTAGATACTGAATCAAAAGTCAAGATAGCCGTTTTGATCGATAATGAATAGTTTTGACACAAAAAAATGCTAAAATTGAAAAATCTCGATTTTTAACACCCTATATCTCTGTAATCATTCCTGCTAGACCCCAAGTGTGATGCATTGATGAATTCAGCTACTCACTAAAAATCTAAAAATGCAATAAAATACAGGATGTTCCATTTGAAATAACAAAGTTGCTAGTTGTTTCTGATAGAAGTGGCAACACTTTATCGATGAAAATAGTTTAGACATAGAGAATGTTCAATTATCAAAGCATCCCAATTTTCAGAATGTTCTGTCTTCATTCTCCAGATACTTCTGATAGGCCATCCACCGCGGATCACCATGTATTTCTTTATTGCTCTAAGCGTTTTCCTATCTATCCCGTGAACCTCTAGGCGTATTCACTCCAATAGATGTTTTCCCTATCAACAGATTTCTTTTAACCACAAATTTCAATGATATTGTTACATAATCATGAAGGACATGTTTCGGTCTTATGGAAGACCATCTTCAGCCTAATTGAAAGTTGTACAAGTGTATAATAATAACAATGAATCCTTCATTTTCTAGTGACTGAATCACCCAACAACAAATACCAAGTAAGACTCAAGACTGCCCCTGTCGCCGCCCCCGTCAAGAGACAGTCCAGCGTCGACTCGCCCCCCTACGAGAACTTCAACAAGCGGCCGCGTACGCTGACGCAGCCGTGCCACCGGCCGACGACGAAGCCCTACTCGCAAAGGGCGGCCGTCAGCCCCATCATCACCGATATTAAGGTGAGAAACTGAAAAATATTGGCTCACCTCTACATATAGCGTGGATTAATGAGTTGAAAACTTACCAAAAAATACTTGAATACTGAATGATACACAAAGTCATCTCCACGACATTTAATGTGATTAACACATCAAAGATTGGTACATGTTTCGGACATATATATGCCCATCATCAGCCTTATATTGAAATTTCATTATTGTCGTATAATTAAAATAGTTATTAGTACAATCAACAAGAGTTATGTCAATTGGACATGTTTCGAAGGTTAAAAGCTTCATCATCATCAAACACTTGTTATACAGAAAGTACTACAATAAGACAGAAAGCTATGTCGGGCAAAACATCCAAACTATCCAAGTCAAAGAATCCTCACCTGTTCTGGGGAAAAACATTTGTTCACATATTGAAAAACCAAAATACAAGTTACATATTATAAAAAAAGTTTTGAAATGAACGGACCACAATTAAATTTCAAACTTTTGGAGGTTATGAGCTGTTGGGAAAACTTCCATTGGCATGGGTTGCGTGCAAGAACTGTCAGATGACTGACACTGGAGGCAAAATATTGAAACACAATGTCACTTTTCTTATTTGATTACAAGTGATTCAAATAGTTTTTCACAATTATTTTGGCATACGAATCGTATTTTTCCGCTATTCATCAATTCGCTCATGCCATCACATTGTGCTGTTGTAAAATGCACAAAAACTGCAGCGGAAGATGAAGCAATCCGGATGGTACATTATGATTTAAAAGTAAGTACCTACTATAGTCACTCACATATAGTTTTCATTTTTGAAATTTGGTTATTTCTCTGATTTCTCATCGGAATTCCTTCTGCAATAGGAGCTAATAGAAATATACCTGAAATTTCTAGAATAATGCAAGAAGATTGGATTCATGCAATTGCAATCATTCGGGAGGACTGGTCTGACATGCTGACGATCGTGTGTGTTGTAGACATTTTCAATCTATTAGCAGTATTAGCTTGTATTGCAGAAGTGGCAGAAGGCAGAAGGAATTTTAATAAGGAATGACAACATTTCATAATGATAACTATGTGAGATTACTATTTACCTGAAAAATCATATTCTTTAGTCTCTTGCTGCATTTTTTGTGCATTGTACAACAGCACAATGCGAAGGCATGCTCGAATTAACGAATAGCGCAAAAAACACGATTCGTATGCCAAGATATTGTGAAAAGACCTTTGATTCCTCTGTGACCAAATAAAAAAGTGAGGTTGTGTTTCAATAATACACAGAAGAATGAGGTTGTGTTTCAATATTTTGCCTCCAGGGTCGGTCATCGTGCACGCGACCTATTGCCGTTCCATAGATGAACGAATTTTGACGAGGTTGACAGCAGAAAGATGTGCTGCAGGGGCTTGTCATGTTCACCTGACTGGTATTGCTAGGTTATAGAATGATAGCAGAGCTTTCTGAAGAACATTTTCCGTGGAAGTATCTATAGAAAAGTGAAAGGTTGCCGACTTTTCTACGGTGTTCTAAAGGATTAGTGAGTGGCATCACCCACTAGGCGAATGGCTCTTCTCTGGATGGAATCTAAGAGCATCAGCTCATGTTTGGGTGCTGAACCCCATATGTGAGAATGTTATTTTGAAACTGGCCGTATCTGATGAGCCTTGTAGATCATGAGAAGCTTATTTTGAAACTGGCCGTATCTGATGTGCTTTGTAGATCATGAGAAGCTGTTGAGGTGTAGAAGAAGATTTTAGCACGGAATAAAAATCCGAGTTTTTAAGAAGCAGCTTTCGCGATGGATCGGACATGATAGTAGTAATAGTGGTGGTAATGGAGGTACCAGACATTGTTGTATCAGGCATACTGAGTTCCGCCTTTCTATAGAAAATACAGGCTTGAGTTTTGGTGGCGTTGAATTCAACTAGGTTGTTGGTTCCCCAGGCTGTAATTTCATTGATGGCAATGGTATCAGACGATACTCCGTCCACCTGCGCATGGAGCGATCTGCCTGAAAAAAATCTCGATAAATCATGGCATAGCTGAGGTGGTAAGCCATATGATGGTAGTGTGCGTAGTAGTCGTTGGTTCCAAACACGGTCGAATGCCTTAACGCTACAGCTAGAGATACCCCATGTTTTTCTAATGAAGCGTGCCATATATGCGTGATGTAGGCAAGTAAATCTCCGGTTGATCTTCGGTGGTGAGAGCCATATTGTCTATTATTAATGATTCCTGAACTTTCCAGTTATTTGATGAGCTCTATGTTGATCGCTTTCTCCACCACTTTGGAGATGAGTGATAACTTGGCAATTGGCCTTTAGTTGTTGGGTAGGCTTTTGTTTCCTTTTTTGAGGATTGGTTGGATTCTAGCTATTTTCCAGCAATATGGAAAAACACCCGACTTGTTCGAGATGGTAACTTGCAGATAATTGGTTATCAAATCTGGTGCACACTTTTCGAGAATAATGTGTGAAATTCCATCAGGACCGTTCGCCTTCTTGCTAGTATAACGCGGTTAGCGGTAACGTACCATTGCTTGCCTATGTCGCCAGTCTATGTCAAGAGCAAGACTTTCCGATTACGGCAATGCGGTGTTGTCATTGTTTCTTCACGGCTTATAGTGCCGTCAATCTTAGTTTTCGGGCGCTAGCCCTTTCATTCCGGGAAATAAAAAAACTACACAGACATTTTGTCTCCTATTTCCTATGTTATTCAATCTCTTGAAGTCAGATTTTCGATATAACGTTTCGTTTATCCAGTGCCACCCTCAACTTTTGTCAGAGATAGCAATATTGGAACAAAGAAATGTGGGTCACTTTGTATACCCATAACATCATAATTGTCAGAAACTCACGACTAACAGTTATTCACTCATTTCTTATTGCGAGGAAATAGCATTCGTCGTTTTTGTTGTCATTAGAGGTTACCTGGGTTTTGTGTTATTAGTTTTAGGTGTCAGTAACTCATTCAGTACACAGAATTCACAGGCAACTCACCTAAGTTAGCTATTTATAAAAGCCTTTTAGAAACATCTTGTATATTTTCTCCCTTCTGACTAGTGAGAAATTGAACGCTATGGTCGTTGGTGTAGAAGATTGATTATTTTTGGTTGAGAAACATTGATCATGTACCATTCTGAAGAAAGTAGTGAAAATTATTTGTTTTTTTTTCAGAATCAGCCTGAAAAGTCTCCAGCCAGAACAACTGATAACTTTGAATTGGAGAAAATATATCATGTCCAATGAAATGTGTAATATTCGAAGAGACTGACTGATTAAGGCCATACTTAAGGAATGTAACGTCTCCCACACAAAGACTCGACTTTTTTTAATTGTATATGTGTGGACGGTGTTAATTCAATGTTATATTTAGAGAATACCAGTGAAGAGGGATGGGACAAGCAAACCATGGATACAGTATGTAAATGACTAATGCTTTTTTGACTCAGAATCATCATACAGTAAGTCTAGCCTCAAAACATTTGTATAATTTTTCTATTCGTAGATAGGTACTGCTACTTCTTCAGGAACTGAATTGAAGATAATATTTCGTTATTTTTGAATAGATTGCGACTGAAAATAATATTTGATCCCAGTGCATCATTATCGACTGTATATACAGCTCATTTACATACATGGTCAATTATGATGACTAAAATATATTGAAACGGTTCAATAGTCAATTTGAATACAAATTTGATCATCAAAGAAAATCTATCTATTGTTAACGACCAACCTATATACTGGATGTCATGGTAAGTGTTTGTCTTATTTTTCGTAACTGAATTTACACAAAGAAACCTGATTAATGTTAAGAAAAAGTTTGTTTTATTTTATGATTACATTAGGAATAAAACTTGTACAGATTTTTTAATATTCTCGTAACATATATTATACATTCTAGTAATTATAGTGAATCTGTGATGAAACTGTTTATGTTATAATTTTAGGAATATTGACTGTTTTATAATGAAATACGGAAAAATATCAGGAGTGGAAATCATACAATATTTTCGTTTTCACATACCTACAAGTACATGGTTATCCCATTTACATCTTACAAGATGTTGATTGCATAACCAGGTTTGCTCATTAGAAGATGTATTCACTGTGAAGTAAAACATACATATTCTGTTGTCATAATAGAGGAAGTGGATTGAAAATTTTGATTATCCTGAATTGTAAATATTTTATTCTTTCAGTTTGACCTGTCGAAAATTCTTTAGAAATTGGTTCATTGAAAGCCCTTGACTGAACTGATAAAAATAATTGGACTAAGGATGACCAGTTTATGTCATGTAAATAGTTTATTAACATTTCTTGTTTCCTTGATGACCCATTAAGAGGAACGGAAGGTATTTTCTATGTTATTACCTCCATTTTTTGTTCATGGTTACGATTGAATTACACAATATACCTACTATATTAGGTATTAATTATGATTTTTTATGTCACACTATCAGAGAGAGATGGAACATAAGGCTATTAGACATTGATACATCCGATTTGGATTTCGTTTTCAACAACATATATGGATGACATATACCTTTTGAGCTGAATCTAATCGACCCAATTTGGAATTGAGGTTCATCATTATTTGGAAATGATCGATGTAATATACATTTCGATGAAAAAAATCCATCGAAATTGTCACGATCATTTTACTGACTATAGTGTCTTTTAGAATGCCTATAAAACGACCTTTTCCGTTCTTCTTGATGCTTCAATTATTTTCTGTCAAAATAAAACTCGTTATTTTGAAAAATCTATGAGAATTAGTTCTGATTCCTATACAATGAATAAACAGGAGCCGCATTTTGAGTGGAAGCCATTAATGAAACAATCTATTCTATATTCCAGTTAAGAATGAAGTAGATGGCATGAATATCAGAGCCCGCTTCACACTAGCGAATCCGCCAATTATTAATATATGACTATGAGTGCAGTGTTCAGTGGAGAAACAATTATACAGGGTGTCACTAAATGGTCTGTTCAAAATCTCAGCACTAAGACCTGAGGTCAAAATAAGCTGGCTTAAAGCATCTTGAAGTAAAGTTGAAAAATAAAAACCGATTTGTTCGAAATGTATGAACATATGAATTACTACTGGTAGTCGGGGGACTTTTTGGGATGGGAAACCTGAATACAGACATCTTTTCACTGTGGCCATTAGATGGCGCTTATCAATGCACCTCTGTGGGGGTTGTCCACATATAAATTATTTATTTCGTGATTCAGAAAAGCCAAATATATCAACAAACTTTTTAATTCGAATCTCTATTCTATCTCAAAAACAATCGAACATCTATTGATTAAATAATAAAATCTATCGTCGCTAACAAAGTGAATAGCCTTGTCTCTTGATTTTTCAAATCTTATTTTCCAGCATCTACTGAGTGTTCAGATGTTCAGATCCCTACATCACCAATTATGTGGGGGTTGTCCACATATAAATTATTTATTTCGTGATTCAGAAAAGCCAAATATATCAACAAACTTTTTAATTCGAATGTCTATTCCATTCACAAAAACGATCGAACATCTATTCATTAAATAATAAAAACCTATCGTCGCTAACAAAGTAAATAGCCTTGTCTCTTGATTTTTTAAATCTTATTTTCCAGCATCTACTGAGTGTTCAGATGTTCATTCAGAAAAGCCAAATATATCAACAAACTTTTTAATTCGAATCTCTATTCCATCTCAAAAACAATCGAACATCTATTGATTAAATAATAAAATCTATCGTCGCTAACAAAGTGAATAGCCTTGTCTCTTGATTTTTCAAATCTTATTTTCCAGCATCTACTGAGTGTTCAGATGTTCAGATCCCTACACCTCTTATGGTTTAGAATGGTCACAACTACGTTTTCGAGATATTTCGATTTTTAATGTTCGATGCCGCACCAGAATATTTAAATTATTTCCAATAAAAATGTTTTGCTGTTATCTTCGTGGATGTAATTGAGTTAGTGATAGAACAGTGAAAACATTTATTTTTCAAAATACAGAGCAATTTCGGACTGAGGTAAGTTGCATATTTCGACCCCAGGACTATTTGCTAAGATTGTGTACAGACTTTTTAGGGACAACAATAATGATGGTCGAAATTGAGGTTATAGCATCTTGAAATCTGTGACGGCTGATCATCAATGATACTCACGGTAGAACCATTTATAAAACATTGATAATCAAGTATTGTTCATATTCAGATTATTTAGATAATCGTATTTTGGCGATTCAAGTGATTTGAAAAATCGAACAGTTGTCAGTTGTCATGAGGCATCATCATCATCATTTCTTCTGGTTTTCAAATTAGTAGACATTCGAAATTATGACCTAGTGAACACCGGTTATTTCATCAGAAAGGGGCGTGCCTAGCTCACGTGACAACATACACATGACAGTATTGACATTGACATCTATAATACAATCTCAATAAGGTTATTTTTAATTGGACATACTGCCACTCTTTCAATTCAAGAACCAATCAGCTGGCATGACATGGGGATAACAGTTTCATCAAGTCATCGTGGAATTGTCTTAATAAATACAACTTGTGCTCACATTACTATGGAAAAGTCTGGATCAAATTGCTTTGAGGTAACACCCCTCGTCCAGTTACATCCCTCGTGGTGTTACCAATCGGTACTCAGTATTGTAAGCACTCATGGTATTACCACTGATTATTTCAATGATTCGAATTATAAAATCACTAACAACTGTTTTTAACTATCGATTTTTTTATTGATCATTGACAGCCGAACCGATCAACTTACAACTTTCATTGTTCATGATCCAGAAGGAGATCGCTAGTGGAAGCTCGCATGGTGTCTTGACACCATGAATAGGTAGGCCAAATAGTCCCTATCTCAGTATGCGGTATATTCTCAACTGAAATGTACTTTAGTCTTCAAAATAAATTCAATTTGCCATACTGTGATGATAAGAATAAAGGTAATTCTGAAATCTTATTTGAGTCGATCAATATAATTGAAATGTAAAGTAGTTCTTGCCGAAAATTTACGAGGTGATTTGAAATAAATACATATATAAGACAAAATTCGACGAAATATGAAGAAACAATTGAAGGAAAGAGAAAAAAGTTCTCTTCAGTGCTAGCGACGTAGCTAGTCTAGTTTGTGCCATAGAACTATTTTCGAGGTCATGTTATAAGTAATATCATTTTCATAATGAATAATAATTATGCTATCGACAGACATAGTCAAATAATTCCAAACTTGTCAGCTGACCAATCAAAAAGTTTGATGAATGAGATCATATTGATATGGGATAGTGATAATAATATTATAATTGTTTCAATGGTACCCTTTGGTAGTACATGTGAATACTCAAAGGTAGTAAACATTATGCCTTCCTAGTTTTTCGATTATATGTATTTATTTTCATGTCACCCTGTATACAATAACCAGTGATTGAAAATGCCTAGCCTCAAAAATGTTTCACATTTTCAAAAATTCAATAGGCATGTTTGTTGGTGGATGACCTTTTGACAGCTATACTTTGCCCAACATAGACATAGTTTGAAATTTTTGAAAATACTCGGCCGTTACTAAAATTCTCATAATTCAATATATTTCGAGAATTTTTTGGAAATATTGATTGTGAAGTGAATTCTGAATATTATAATACCATATTATATTATTAGAAATTTCAAGCAAAACAGAAGATTACATGTTATTCAATGTTAGTTTGATTTGTTTTTGATTACAAAAATTTTAATTCCGTGGACATTTTATCATTTCTATTTTTATTTAAAATACATTTCATCCCTGAAAAACGAAAAATTGAAGGAGAGCTCCTGAATTTTGTGTTGCAAGCCAATGACTGCTCATACAATAAATAAAATTAGAGCTACACTGGCTGAAGTTTGTTTGATTCAACAATTATTGTTAGCCTCATGGACTTACACAATTTTATCACTGTGCTTTATACAAGGTCATCGAATTAGATAGCAAATAATTGGAATATATTGAAAATACAGAATAGACGAAAAAGTATGGAGAAAAAATCCGAGAAATATATTAATCTAATTTGGATTCAAATTCCTTATGAGATTTCCTTATCTACAAATTCCTCGACTTCTGAATTATTTCAAAAGTGAGGAAGATAATTCGCCAGTGTTTGAAATGATCATCTAGTACATTATGAAGGTTTTGAATTATTTATGTTGATTAACAATTGTATCATTGGGCATCGTACATTTTCAATGTTTTAATTAATTCTATGGATAGTACTTCTAGAGTTCATTTCATTTGGGAAACAAATTCTTTCGGTGCTAGTACGTTGAAGATAATTATGTGGTCGACAGACTTTGGGAATTTCATTGTTTTTTCTTTAAAATCAATTGGAACACTTTGAGAAAAATGGATGATTTCTATGATTTGAAGATAATTCACTATAGGCGTTTTCGGAAACTTACTCGGGTCGGGTTGGTCGGATCCCCAACCGTGCCTGAACGTTCGGTTACCTCCATAATTTGATTCAGTATTCGCGGGAATCAATGTTACCAGGTGGCGCTCGGTTTTCATCGTTCCATGTCAAAGCCACGTCAAAACTGGGAGAAAACAAACTAAATCCTCACACAATAATCCCATTAGTGCCATCAGCTTGTGTACTGTGTACTGATAATAATGATGTTCTCGAATTTCTTGACATTAATTGTCAATATTCGATCGAAAACGCTAATAATGCCTGTTGCAGATGTTGTTTTGGCAGATATTTTGCTTTATTTAGATGGAAAAAGCCGACCAGTAGTGGAAAGAGAAGCAGTTCTCCATGCTAATCATGTGATTTTGTGTGAGGCAGAAGACTTCAACAAAAGGCACATTTTTGCACTTTGTCTACAAACTTCGGCGATAAAATCTTCCCCACATGAAGTAAAATTGAAGTTGGGGTCCAGAGTAACTCCTGTAAAACAATTGATTTCTATAAACATGTTGTAGCTGTTCTTTTATATGTCAATTGATTTGCTAGTCATAATTAGTTTGAATTGTTTGAACTATCTCCAATTCTTCACCCGTTCACTAAACTAATAAACATGTAATAATTTTAAAAAAATAACCAACTCATCATATCACTACCAACAGTGCCAACACTTTATGTTATTGACAAGTTGGACTACAGCTACAGCAAGCTGAATGCAATGTAGTCTATGCACTTCATCCATAGACAGTTTGTTTTCCCCCAGTTTGAAGTTCGTATTATGTAACCTAGATGTCGCCCACTTCGTGAATCTCACGAATAATCCATAGAGAAGAAAATTTGGGTAGGTGTGTAGTTTGTGGTTTTATGAGCCAAGAAATGTGCGACAAAATATGAGAAAAGTTTTCCAATCACCAGGTAAATATAAATATTTGTAACCATATCAAATGAGTACTTGAATATAATGAGAACATTTTCGTCTATCTTATTCACAAAACCACAGAAAAAAGGTTGAATTCTGTGTTCCTAAGCTGACACGTTAAAAAACGATGAACACGAGTAGGTGATCCGACTTTTTTGTGACGGTATCTCTCTCCATCGAGTTAACAACCAAGAGTGAGTTTCCGAAAACACCTAATTTTTTATCTACTTTTGGTTTCTTGTGAATCCGGCAATGGAAACACAATTTTTGAGTAAAGTGTCATCCCTTATGTAATTTTTCTTCATCTACAAAAACATAAAAAAAATTGTTGGCTCGAAATGACATTCTAAATTCAACCATGTGCCAGGAGTCACTTATCAATCATGGTAAGGGAAAAATAGTTTTGATACAGAATCGAGCATTTTCGAGATTTTCAAGAAAAGATTGATTCATATCCAACTATCTATGGTATTAAATAAAAACAATCTCTCTTCACCTAACATTATTTTCGCAATAATTCATTTTTGATGTGATAAAAGGTGGCAAGTTGCATTCAGAAAATACTCGAAAATCGGGAGTTGTCTCCGGAAATACGCAAGGTTGAGAAAACATCTATCAATAAATGCGATTCATATCTTTAAAAATGAAAAGTTATAGAGATAAGTGATCTCCTAGACACCCGCTATATACCAAATGCCTCTGAATAAAAAAAAAGGGTTTTTCAACTATTATTGCATGTTACAAGAGAAATGCTGGTTTGATTCACTTGAAAAAACCGAACCGATTGATCGATTTATTGTCAACTTCATTTAGACTTGGAAATTATATTTTGTTAGATTTGTGTTCCGAATTGAAATAAAAAAACAAATACAGAAATTGTTGGGTCACTGCCAGACATTTTAACTGAAAAGGAAAAGTATATAGCTTCTGATTTATCCCCAATATCCCAAATTGCAGTAGCCATATAATATACATTCATTACTTATAGATTATGACTTATACCAATCAACTGATACTTTTTCATCCCTGCATATGTTGAAAACCGCTCAACCAATACATTTTTGGAATAATTTCAATGGAAGGTGTTTTATTGAAATTAACAATGACATTTTGATATTCAATTGCTACATCAGATGATGATGGTTTTCTGGCGGTAATATGGCTAGAGACAAACCTACAGTTTCTTTATTGAAACTTCATTTTGTGAAAACTGTTCAATTATACCAGGTGTCCCAGAGCTTTCAGGTCAGCAAATATCTGGGTTATCTAACATGAAAAAAATCTAAAAATTGTGGAATATTTATGAGAGCAAAAGCTCTCCAAGGCAGTGGAATGGAATCACCCTCATGTTAAACAATCTACTACAAACCACCCCTAACTTTGGTTTTTCAAATTGTACCTCAATGTATTTTTCGGTTCATGTCAATTCAGTGATGGGACTAGATATATAAAAATATCGATTTTTCCTCGAATAATTGATGGATATGACTGTTTTCACTTTCAACACTTACCTTATATTGCCTATTCAAACTTTATGTGTAGCTCTGATTTTTCAAGCAATAACCTGGTGTTACATTAAAACTGGCTTGCAAAATCATTCACTCCTTTAAAATTTAGTATAGTCAGATCGAGAGATTCTATAAGAAGGAGAAAAAAAAAACATGGGGGTGCCATTTGAAAAACCTGAGTAAGGGGTGGTGTCTAGTAGATTGTGTGAAACAAAGATGATCTGATTCCAACATTTTGGAGTGATTTGGTTCCATAAATTCCAAAACTCTTTGAAATTTTTTGTATGTTAGATAACCTACATATCTGCTGGCCTAAAAGCTATGGGGCACCTGGTATACAGAATAACCCTGTCCCTACCTGTAAGTACTTCAAATATGTACCCTAATATTGAAGATGTACCTTTCAATCACAATAAAAATATCAAATAATAACTGTTCTTTATTGGTCTAGAGAGGAACATACATATTGCCAATTTTTCGTTCCTTTGATTGTATTGGAGCATAGGATTTCGAATGTTACATGTGAAGATATATAAAAAAGTTTTGCATTTCATGGACTGATTTTTGATGAAGGTAAGGAATATTCAATAATATAGACTATACAAAATTAGAAAAATTTTGAAGAGTACCTTTTATCTGTTTGATCATAGATGTTTGATTGAACTATTTTGTTACCCTATACAAAGGGAGCATCCGTACTTTAGAGAACAGTGATTATTTGGTTCTTAATTGCCACCTTTTTATTTATAACAAATTGAATACAATAAAAATTAATCAAATTTCATAAGTGTCACTTATTCAATGAACATCATAATAGCACTTACACCTATTCTCCTCAAAACTACTAGCACTGCAGTGCTGGCCTTTGATGTTTAGCATTTAATTGCTCATTGGTAAATGAGTACCCAGTTCCACCCTGAAATATGAACAAAAAAATATAACATTTTGTGAATTGAAGTGTCAACAGTTTTGTAGTATCAGAGAAGCTCAAAGCAGATGTCACTGGTGGAGTTGGAGGTCATGTCAATAAATACAATTCATTCCATTCCATCATCCATCCCATTCGTGAAACAATATAGAGTTACTTGATGTTCATCTTATTTTTTCTGATGGAGAACAGTTTTCTGAATGGGCCTGTTTTAGTGAAAACATTTATTTCATTATTTTGAAGTAAGTACTAACCCAACCTCATACTGATAAACTGTTTTCTCCTCAGAGCTCCATACATTTTCTTGAAATATTGAAATTCACAAATTACATAACATAAAAAAAACACATGAAAACGCATCATTACCAATTTTTTTTTTTTATCGATTGGAGCGCACGAAAGGGAATCCCTATAATGTTCAAAGACCATCGTGCGTTCCTAGGGAGGATAGGGACAGGAGGTAGGTATTGGAATTTTGTATACAGGGTGTCCGCTAAAAGGAGGTCAATCCATTAACCATATATTCCTTGAACAAAAACAATATGAGTTTCTAAATACAATTTTTCATTTTAGCCCTTCATATTCGATATACAGGGTGTCAAAGTTGGAAATTAAAAACTGCTCTCTTCGAATTACTGGCGTATTTAATAAGATATTAATCTCAAAATTGGTACATTACTTCAGCACAAAGAATTACATCTTGTGAGGAAAACAAAACAGAAAATAACTGTCAAATATTCAAAATACTGGGGGTCAAGTACACACTTACTCCCATATTTTTTTTTGTACGTGCGCTAATGACTTCCTATCTATGTTCCTTCAAGCGTTCAATCATTTTTGAGTATTTTTGTCTGTTGTAAAATTTCGATAAAATGATTTGTTTTTAAGTTAATTCGAAAAGTACTGGTTATTGTTTGATGCCTATGCGGCTGACGGTAATCTCATAATGTTCACATAATCCTATTTATTTCGTCGAAATTGGGAGAGGGCGCAACTTTTTACGTACGAAGAATACAATTTTTTTGCCAATCGAACGGCTTGAAACCTTTTTTATGGGGTCAAATTAAAAAAAAACGTTTTTTGGAATTCCGGGAAAATAACGATTTTAGGAGGATGGGAGGGGGGTCGATTGACGAACCCACCCTTTTAAAGTAATAGATTTTTTCAAGATTTTTTTCGAGAACAGCAAATTTTTTAAAATCAGTTTGGGCGGTTTTGGGGGGGTGCTGAATTTTTTAAAAATATTTTCGAGCCTCTTTCACCCCGTCTGGTATGTCGGGCGCGAACGAACAGGAAATAAAATCGAAAAAAAAAAAATAAAAATAAATATTTTCGAAAATTTTTGGTGAAATTATGATATCACTTGATGAAAGAAATAGCAGATCAGGATTGTCTATGGATGTATGAAAGATTTTGTGCATAAGCCACATATTTTTCAAAGGCTAAGATTTTCTTTAATTAAAAGGGCTGGCATGTGTATTCAAAAAAGTCATATTGAGCAATTCATTTAGATGTGTTGAATTTCTATCAATATTTTTTTGTAAAAATTATTTTAATACATTTGGTCTGAGCATCCCGTATTTCCATATTTACCTTTTCGGACGTAAAAAGTTACGCCATCTTCCAATTTCGACGAAATAAATAGGAGTATGGGAACATGAGATTACCATAAGCTGCATAGACGTCAAACAATAACCAGTACTTTTCCAATTTACTTAAAAACAAATAATTTTATCGAAATTTTACAAGACACAAAAAATACTCAAAAATGATTGAACACTTGAAGAAAACTACATAGGAAGTCATTAGCGCACGTACAAAAAAAAATATGGGGGTAAGTGTGTACTTGACCCCCAGTATTTTGAATATTTGACAGTTATTTTCTGTTTTGTTTTCCTCACACAATGTAACTCTTTGTGCTGGAGTATATTGTTTTGTTCAAGGAATATATGGTTAATGGATTGACCCTGTATATTAGTACACCTCCATGTTGGAATGTGTACAACTCCTTTCAATGATGGACATCAAGTTAGTAGGCTTCAATGCAAAATTGAAGGGAAAAACAAATTATTTTTAAAATGAAAAATTCTATTAAATGCTATTTATACTTGGAAAGATTGACATGACATGTATATCAGGGTTGGGCAAATCTTGATTTTGAAAAAAAAATCAAAAATCATTGATTTAAATAAAAAAATCATGATTTTTTTGATTTTTTTTGATTTTGGTCTTAATGCGCGATAAATATAGGTACCTGTCAACATTCATGTCAACATACTCTTTCAAATGTCGTGGAACAATGGAAAAATATATCTTTGAAGAAGATCAAAATCTATCAATTCAACAGCTTCAAAAATTTCAGCGCCGATATGAACAAGCACTGACCTCTTACCACTTGATAGCTTATATGATGGACCCATCTAAGCAAAAGTACAGGTTGACTGTCTTACTAATAAAATTTAATGCTCGTTCTTTGCCCTTCAAAAACATCATGTTCTCTGAAGAAATTACGAAAAATGTCAGTGGAATTCAGTGGTGGCTATCACAAGCTGACAATGAATCAGAAATCAAGAAACAGATACCTGTGTTAAAACAATTTCTTTGTGCTATTGCTTCTTCAGCCTCAGTGGAACGAGTGTTCAGTACCTTTTTATAATGAAAATTAAAATGTTCTATGTTAGTTTCAATGTCAGAAAACTTATGATTATAAAATAATGTAGACGTAGAGTATGATCAAGATATACATATGTATATGTTAATAATATGTTTAATATCCCGTTTTTTTAGGGGTTTTACTATTTTATTTCAGTTTAATATTTTTTTTATTCAAATAAATAATAAATGTTCTCGAAATTATTATTTTGATTTAAATTGTGATTTGAAAAAAAATCACTTGATTTAAATCATGATTTTTATCTTGATTTAAATCAATTGATTTAAATCAGCCCAACCCTGATGTATATACTTTGAAAAGATTTGAACAGTGTTAGTGAATTTGAATATTTTCACAGTATGTTTCCAAAGTGAGTATTCAAGTAATCTATTTTCTTCCTAACTCTGAGAAAATGAACTTAAATTCGCCTCCACTGCTGCAAAAATGTTTGGACAATTTCTTCTGTAGAATATTATTGAAATGGAAGTCTATTGTACTAGATAGATATTGAGGGAAGAATTCAACTCACCCTTTGCATTATGATGAGATCTTTCTTGGACAGTTTCTTACCAGTTAGAGGATGCATCCAATCTTTTTTGATAATTTTTTGCACACACTCCATAGTAACCACATCTCCCCTGAAAAAATACATTGACATTAAATATATAAATATCTTTATTATTATTCCCAAGAAACATACATGTTTATAGCAGGGAAAATTATGAAAGAGCAACTAAGAAAAACAAAAGTATTTTTTCAGTTCTTTTTTGAATTTTTCAACACTTAATTTTTTCTTTAGTCTGGCAGGTAATTCATTTGTGAGTCTGTATTCCACAAGTTGATAATTTACTCACATAGGCCTCAAAACTGCACATGGGACAGAGTTGCTCAGAATATCATGGGTAACTGCACACATATATCTATTTTCCCTGGTATGTATTGACTTTTTGTCATCTGGATCTTTTACAGGTGTAAATTTAACTGCAATTAAGTCCTTGACCTTCAGTGGTTTCTGGGATATGGGGCAGTACACTACTGGATCCTAAAAATATTAGGATATAGTTATGTTGAATTTGAAGAAAACAGTTCAATTCAACACTTGAGTGGAAAGTTTTTGAATAGAATTTGAATAGCAGAACTAATCAGGATATGATAACTAACATGTTGAATTGAAAGTACTAATTTTCAATCATCAATGAAGATACTTACTGGCTTTTCTATTATAGATTTCTCAGCACTAGGTGTCTGACATGGTACCCAAAAGCTTGGAAGCTCTTTATCTTTACCACCAGCCATATTGGATATTGATGAAGTGCTAGGTTCATCTGTAATAAGAAGAAATCATTCACATAACATGGATCATTCAGAATAAGAAATACAAATATAATATAAGTACTGTCAAATACATTACATTTTACTTTTGTGCTACAATAACACATTGATTACCTGGTTTGAAACCATCCATTGGTTTACTGACAATATTGTTCTCAGTATTCAAAAATTTTGATACCTTTTCTTCCACCTCATTAGCTTCTTTTTGAGCATCATCTTCAATTTCTTTAGTTTTCATTCGTTCATATTCTTTTAGTTTTCGATTATATTCATTCTTTTTTTTGATTACATACTCCAGAATGACTTCTTTATCAAAAAGGTAACCATCTTTGCTGTAAGTGTATCCTATTTGTATATTATATTATCAATTTAATTCTGATCATTCATGCTTACGTTATTACTGGATTCCTGCATGGTTGAAGGGATAGGGAGCAACAGTCGAAATCTTTCACAGAATCCTTTCCTAGTCTCTGAGCATTGGTCCCATATCCAGAAGCTTGGGCATCTTTTTTCTTCTCATGATAAGTATACACAGCTCCTGCAGTACAATTTCTCGCATGTCTCGTCATTTCTGTAGGGACTGAAGATTACAAAATTTGATTTTTATAAAGAAAATCAATAAACTTCAAAGGAATAAACAGATCCAGAACAGATTTCAGAAATAATAACACCTTATACATAAACAAAGACAAATATTCCCTATTTCCACATGACAATCATGACAACATTGACAACATGATAATACATTATTCAGTGTTGCCAGTTGGCATTGCCACGACCTTGGAGTTGAAAATCAAAAATCGCAATGCTACCAACATAAATGCTTTTCGGCTAGTTTTCGGAAAAATGTCACATCAATGTCAGACTGTCAAATCATAATAATATAACATAACTAGTCACCATAGTCACTTCACTTTGTGAATCTTCTGTTCGGTTCGTATGGACTGGATGGTTTTCTCCGATTGAGTGGCAAGTATCAAATACTGCATCTCTGATCTGCAACAGAACATCACATATCAATCGAAGTACATTTATATCAGAAAATAAATATCACTATATGAATTACATGGATGTTGAATCTGAGACATACCTGAAATATATTCAACGTGCGTAACTCGATTGCTACATATCCGCTTCCTTTCCGAATAGTGTTTTTTCCAGTAGGCATCTTCCACATTTTCAATTACGTGGTTATATTAAGGACCTTGAAGGCCAAACGATGTGCTGCTCGGATCTAAAACTGAGGATCAATTTCAAATTTGAATCGTGAGACCTACATAGAATATTGGATATTGTTGTCAACATTCATAACTGGGACGCGATATATTTTTGTAATTCTTCAATTCATCAACTGCTATCTCAATGAAGACGATAGACAGGCAGATAAGCAACAATTTTCTCTGCAATGAAGAACACTGTATATACCTAACCCACCATGCGTCTACCTCCTTTGCAGAGAGGGTTTATAAACGCCGAGTTGATTCTCTCCCCTCGTAAGGGTACCTGTCGTGTTTCCATAGAGACATAAAGCTGAATATCTGTCTTATCTGTTTTCTTGAGAATCTGGAAAGGATATCAATATATCGCCTTCCGTACGAATATAATGATCTGAATTCTGTGAAGTATACTCTGGTCAGTTTTCTTTGCGGATCTGCTGTTTGGTCCGTATTTACTGGATGGTTTTCTCCGATTGAGTGGAAAGTATCAAACACTGCTTCTTGGATCTGCAACTAAACATCACATTTAAATCAGAAATTATCATTAGAGGAAATATATATATACATAGCTGTTGAATCTGAGACATACCTAAATATTATTTTCAACGTCCGTAACTAGATTGATACATATCCGCTTTCTTTCCGTATAGTGGTTTTTCCAGTAGGCATCTTCCACATGTTCAATTACGTGGGTAATATTAAGGACCTTGAAGGTCAAACAATGTGCTGCTCAGATCTAAAACTAAGTATAATCAATTTCAAATTGGAATCGTGAGACCTACATAGAATATGAGTCTATGTAAAGACTGGATATTTTTTTCAACATTCATAACTGGAACGCGATTTATTTTTGTAATTCTTCAATTCATCAACCATCTCAATGAAGACGAGACAGGCAGATAAACAACAATTTTCTCTGCAATGAAGAACACTGTATATACCTAACCCACCATGCGTCTACCTCCTTTGCAGAGAGGGTTTATAAACGCCGAGTTGATACTCTCCCCTCGTAAGGGTACCTGGCGTGTTTCCATAGAGACATAAAGGTGAATATCTGTCTTATCTGTGTTCTTGAGAATCTGGAAAGGATATCAATATATCGCCTTCCGTACGAATATAATGATCTGAATTCTGTAAAGTATACTCTGGTCAGTTCTCTTTGCCGATCTTCATTCTGTTCGCTCCGTATTTACTGGATGGTTTTCTCCGATTGAGTGGCAAGTATCAAACACTGCTTCTTGGATCTGCAACTTAACATCACATTTAAATCGAAGTACATTTGAATAAGGAAATATCATTAGAGGAAATACATAGATATTGAATCTGAGACATACCTGAATAATATTTTCAACGGCCGTAACTAGATTGCTACATATTCGCTTTCTTTCCGTATAGTGGTTTTTCCAGTAGGCATCTTCCACATGTTCAATTACGTGGGTTATATTGAGGACCTTGCATGCCAAACAATGTGCTGCTCAGATCTAAAACTATAAGTATCAATTTCGAATTTGAATCGTGAGACCTATACATAGAATATGAATCTATGAAAAGTCTGGATATTTTTTTCAACATTCATAACTGAAACGCGATATATTTTTGTAATTCATCAATTCATCAACTATCTCATTGAAGACGAGGCAGGCAGATAAACAGAACTTTTCTCTGCAATGATACTGCAATACTGCAAAAATAATCTTTCATTTCCACTAATGAAGCAACGTTGTCAAGTCACTAATTATAATCAATTTATTATAATGATCAGAGTCCTGTCGTTGAATAAAACACGAGACAAAACATAATGAGACTGAGCCAGCATGATATCATAGATCATTCTTGACTTTTTCGAGCAACCAGCATGTCTGTATATCTCTTGTACCCTATAACAAAATATCATGATGATATGTTGAAGACTTGGCAAAAATGTGGTGAATGTTGAGAACTGACAAGGCACCGCCCACAATTCGTGTGCCGGGTTGTCACGTTCCAATAGTATCTCAATACATGGCATCTGTGCTATAGTCTGTCTCTACTTACGAAATCGTGACGTCAGTTTTTACTCGCAGTAAATTTTTAGGCCCTCCGCACACGGGTCGATCGGCGACATGGGCGACGCGATTCGAATCGTACGACGGTCTCCCCTCTACTCGACTTCCTGAGCAAAGCATCTGGAACCCGCACACGGGTCGTTTAGTGGTCGTCTAGAAACGTACGATTTAAGATCTCCTCGTTTTCAGTCTCACGCGATTAGCAAGGAAGCAGTTTGATCGAGTGAATCTTGCGTCTCAATGGAGAAAGTTGTTCAATAATTTTTCAATCATTGTGAATATTTGTGTTACCTACCTTAGTTCTTTAGTTTCAGAGAACATATAATCTTATGTTTCCAATTTATACTCTCAACTTTAGGAACTGTTTGATTTTTTGAAATATATGAATCTCACATCAATGTTATTAGTATGTGTTCTACTGCGCTGACACATTCCCTCATATTTGAATCCATATAATTTATAGCTGGAGCAAGAGTTTCCACTAAATCAATATATGATTCCTTCGACATTCCATAAAATGCCAGAAATTTTGTGTCACTCTCTGACATTTCACTTGCAGTAACAAAAAGTCGAGTGTGAAAATTTCGTGCAATGTACGGATGCACCCATAAACTTCGTTGTCTTATTCTTCTCCTGATCTGCCGGTGCCACAAAAACATGAATATGTCCTCCTCGCCATTGGAACTGCTCATTTTTAGTGAAACATTTCTTTTTGAAGTTGCAAAAAATAGAGTAACTAAGTTGATCAGACGCAAGTCGACTACACAAAACGTCGACCCATATGCGGATGACACACACTCCCGTCTCTTGAATCGTACGAATGCAGAAATTGTGACGTCATTGCAATCGCGTCGCCCGTGTCGCCGATCGACCCGTGTGCGGAGGGCCTTAGCCGTTTGGAAATTACCGTTGGCATTATTGTTGATCTCAGCACCTCAAAATCGAATGAAGAATTCTAAAAATATATGGAATTGAAAGTTGTTTGAGTGATAATTCTATTCAAGAAATAAAAAAAAAATAGTCAACTCGCCTATTTCATCTGCAAAATTCAGAATCCTTACTAAACAAATACGAAAGATACAGGGATGCTTCCATTAACAGTGAGACACACTGTGCAATGTTCATCTTAAGTCAATTCTGATCTTCATATCTCTTCATCTGAAGTTTCATCTTCAAAATGAGCCTGAGTTTTTAAAAATCGGTTGAGAAGGAAAAAAGTTATGACTGCAAAACCTAAAAGTTGATTTTTCGATATCACTCTGTAAGTAAAAGGGATAATAAGAAAATTCGAAAAATGTCTCATGGTAATCTGCTGTCAAAGTTGAAAAAAAAAGTTTTCATTCATTTGGGATCCTTTTGAAAATTCAAAAATTTTTCACAGTTTCAGGTGACACCCTGTTTATATAGAGAACCTCATACCATTGGAAATTATACAATTAGTACAGGGTACTTCGAGACAAATTCTCAATCTGAGTATAGGGAAAATAATAAGAGTTTTACAATTCGTGTGTGACCATTTCAAAGAAATTTTGACGACTTCGAAATTTTCTCTGTGGAAATTGGCAGTTTCGGTACCTAGCCTAGCACAGTCAGCGATACGGATTGACAATTTTTTTCAGCTTTGTTCTAATCGCATACATTTCTCACAAAAAATACGTATATGTATATGAAAATGAATCAAAGGAGTACCTACTCTAAGATTTCTAGATGTATCGAGTGGTGAAATCGGCTCAAAATACTCATCAGATTATACTATCACTTCTAATGAAGAAATTAAAAAAAAACTCACCAGCGTGAAAAAGGTAAAAAATGATTTCTGCAATTCTATTGTTTGAAATTTTCGATTGTCCACAGCACGAAAAACCAGAACATTGGAAGAGGGACACAAAAACACATTACTATCACTCATTTTCATGTCGATCACAGAATTCGAGAGTACGTGATGACATCTAATATAAAACTGTCTTGATTTACCACCTGGTCCCGAATGAATGACTAATGAGTTGAATCATGCTGATAACCGATTAATTTTCGAACAAATGATTTATCTATGACTATTGATGATAATGGAATTATACAGGGGGGGTATTCTAAGACTAATGATGATTATACGAGGGGAAAAGGGATATATAGTATACAAAATATAAGATGAAGTATTGAACACGGATATACTGACAGTATTATTTTCGAAAGTCTAATGATTTGAAAAAATGTAACCTAGGCTGAAAATATAATCTTTCCCAAAATATCAAGATATGTTTTGTTAACTGAAAAGAAGAGGAAAATAATGAACAATGTGGTCTACTT